TATTCATATCAAAGAATAGATTATAAATAAGAATATTAAAAAATATAAATAACACATAGTTTTTCCGCCCACCCCCTCTTACCTGAGTTTATTATTCAAATAATCTCCTCACATTGAACAATCCTCACATAGTGTGATAACATATTTTTGCAAACAAGTACATATTTTTGCAAACGCTGGAGTGCTGCTCTCAGCACTCCAGCGTAATATAATAGGAAAAACAACACACCTTTAATTCATCTACGTTTGTCTCTTGTGCATCACGTTCTCTAGAGAATTTGTTTCTTATTGATGAAATGTAAATGTTTGTTGATTTTACCAAATCTTCCATTATTTATTCATCAATAATTTGCAATAAACACTCAGTTGGATGTTTCAAATTTCTAAAGCTTTTCTTGACACTATACTGTGCAGCCGTGTCCGAACGTTTTTCGAGGGTAATTTTTTACTTCAAATTGTTCCATCTATTCAAACATAAAAATTATATGATGTCAAAGAAGATCATGGGGATCATCATATCACTGATCAGAAACAGTTTCGTGAGTACTTTCAGAAATATTATCGCACTCAGAATCGGAATTTTCGATTTCGCTATCAGTTTCAACACTAGCGAGAAGAACCCGCAGTCGTTGCTGTTCTCGTTCGTACGCACGCATCTCAATGAATGTCTCCCTGGAAGTGAAACGTTAGTACACGCGCGGGGTATCTACAATCCCGTTGCACATGCCTTACCCGAAAACACAAAAATCCCATGGACACGGGAAAAATTCCTTTGGACGACCACTTCCTAACCTTGATCTTGAAAGGTACATAAAGTACTAGAAAGTTCACGTACGACCTTCTCTTATTTTCTAAGAAAAGACTACGTGGGTGGTGGATTTTTCCCCAGCGCGTGTGCTGACGGGTTAAAGAAATTTTCCGTATTAGGTTGCATTTAATGAAGGGAATTTTATTGCTTTAATTTGTTTTTGTGTCGTAAGTGATTTATGCCATTAGTAAAATATGTGCTATGTGAACCAAAGAGGAAATACCTCAATGAAAACTAAATAGTTGAGCTTAAGAAGGCCATCTTCAAGGTAGGGTTGCTTACTTGCATGAGTTTTCTTGTGATTTTTATCATACTTGATGATTTTTCAACTCAGGTTTATTTAAACATACACGAAACTAAATCATTTGCATAATTTTATGAAGTACAAAGTCGGGAAAACTTTCTGAACAAGAATTTACCGGATTTTTAATTCCTGGGAGAAATTTTACATTTCTTTTAAGTTCTAGAACCAAATTCAATAGTCGTCATCAACAGCGATCGAGCGGTAAAGTCGCTGAACATTGGTCATTCCGACCTAGGTTCGAATCCAGGTGAACTTGCTCGCGTTCCTCACGCTGTTTTCTTTCGTTAAATTCACGTTCCTCTATTTCTTTTCGTTCCTCAATAACGCGAAAAAATAAATCTTTAGTGAACTCTTCATTATATCCCTTACTCGTTAAAATGGCATCTTTAATATTAACTATTGTCATTTTTGCTAAAACACACATATCTTGTTTACGCCCTTTAGCAAAAAACGACATGATGACGCGTTTCACTTAAAATAAATTCTTCGATTGTAGAGACATTAGGATTTTTTGGAAGCAGGCAAGATGAAAAATTAGCAAACCGTCTTCGCCGGGGATCGAACCACGAACCTCTGGAATACCGGCTCAGCGTGCTACCGTTACACCACGAAGGCTCGCTAGAGAAGCGGGAGAAATAACTTATGCGATGAAAAAAAAAACACTTTATTATGGTTAGGTTGTAATGCGGTCACCTTATCCAGAAACGATTTGTAGTAATTTTACTACAGAATGGCACTATACTAAAGTTAGTTGTATCAAAAGAAAACAATGTCAAAATAATATATCAAAAACTCTCTCTTCATTAAAAGAATTCTTCGATTGTAGAGACCAAATTACAGGGCTTAGAAATGGCACAGTTTAAATAAAATCAATAAAATCCTTTTCTGTTAATTATTTCTATTCTCAAAGGACAAAATAAAACATTCATAGATAGCGATATATTTATGAAACTAAAAGAATTACGCGCATTTGCATGGGCGTTTTCGTGGTTTTCTTCATTTGTAACATGTATACGAGGCAGTTTCCCTTAGAAACTGTTCACGAAGACATCCCTCCAGTTAGGCCCTTAGTGCTCTTAGCCATAATAAACTAAACCGAAAGGCAGACATCATCAATTTATAATATTCTAGAATCTAATTCTTTTCAGCAGTTATTTGAAGAACTAACTTACTTACTTTAGGATATTAAAAAATTGCTTAGTAATTTAATTTATAATCAAAGTTCAAAAAACAATTTAAAATTGTGTTTGCTTAATAGATATACCTAAGATGTAATAGAACGCTAGTAAGAAAAGCAGTGTGGAAAATAATGCTTTGTTATAATTTACCTGCTCCGCACTAAGGCACTATACGAAAGGGAGCGATGCTTTCATGGAGGACATTCTAAGAGGAACTGGCCCGTTTTTAACGTTACACATGGCCGCTGATGGGCCTGTCAATAATGCTTAATACAGTAAATAACTTTCGTGATATTTAAAAACTCGATTCAGTCGAAAACCATAAATTAAAAACTTTGCTCTAAATTATAAAATGTTGCTTTGTTAAATATAATTAGCCTATTTCAAAATTTAACATTCAAAAGTGCTCATTAATAAAACGGTATAAAATAATGTAACGCTAATAAATAAAGAGGAAAAATGAAAGTTAAAAAAAATTGTCTCACCATTTTCTTTTAATTCGTAGTAAAAGTACTTGATACTCTTCTGTTGTCGCAACCGGATTCGGAAATGTCCGTATGTATGCATGTATAACGTACACATACTCATACATAGGTACACACATATACATATGCATATACGAACACATACATCCATACATACATGCATATATTCATTTCATACATTTCTGAATCTGGTGCTGATAACCGAAGAGTACGAAATATTTATATTAGCATTTCTCTGAACTTTTGTAACATAAAATCATGACACTTTAAAAGAAAGTGAAGATCGAAACAAAAATACGTACAAAAAAGATATTTTCCTGGATCTTCAGACATAATACTTCATATTAACTGATTGCCGAGTTTCCAACAGCGGGCTGCATCCAAAGAGTTCTACGCCTGAAAAAGAGAAAATATAAAAATATTTCAATATGAACGAAAGCAGTTCTATACACACCTGGAAAAGAAATTTTTAATATGAATGAGATAAGTTCTATACGCTGCCAAAACCGGTATAGTGGTTAGCGTGGCTGACTGCGGTGACGAAGGCCCCGGGTTCGAATCCCGAAGAAGGCATGGATGTTTGCAAATGTGTAGTGCGGTATGGTGGAACTCGAAGTATACGGTGAGCCAAAAACTATCGTGTGCACACGAGCTCGTGGAGCTTCCTAGTGTGGTTTGGTGGAAGTGGAAATGGGTAGGAGACCCTCCATTCCCCCCTGGGGGTTTGCACTTCATCAAAATTGTGGGTGGAACTCAGCTAAATCGGATTCGCAAGTGTAAGGTACTCAAGGTTGATGCCAAAGACAGGAAAGTAGTGTGGAATGTCAATAATGCTTTGTTATTGCAGTGTACGTATCTTACGCTCCTTGCCACATGGATCTTTATCTCTAGGCAGAATAGCAGAAAATGCATCATCTACTCTGATTCTCTGAGTGCTCTTGAATCAATAAATACAAAGGTCTTAGAAATTTTAAAGCCACACCTCCGTTTGAGAAACGCAGGTTATTATATTGCATACTGCTGGGTGCCTGGAGACGCTGGCATCAAAGGCAATGAACTCGCCAATATTGCAGCAAAATCTGCTGATATTACCTCAGAAAAAGATGTCCCTTTTACAGGCATACGGAATTACATTAGAACAAAGTTCTTGTTCAGGTGGTAAGAATTCTGCGAATGCCCAACTCTGAACAATTTAAGGCAGCTAAAACCCAATTTGGAGTACAGGGAATCGAAAGGAGGATGTACTACTCACTCGCTTACGAATTGGTCATTGCAGACTGACATATCAGTACCTCTTGAAAGGAGATAATGAGCCTATTTGTGGCACTTGCAACGTTCCCGTTTTAGTCAATCCCATTTTAACCTGCTGTCCTGCTTTTAGTCAGAAACGTGAATTTTATTTCAACTCTACGAATGTTAACTTAACAGATCTCATTGGAAGAAACCTCACATCAACCTCATAAGTTTTTTAAAAGACATCTCCTTTTACCATATGATTTGAACTACATTTTATCCTGCTCTACCTGATGCTACAGCATTTTTCAGTCATTTCTGCCTGGACATTTTAAAGTCATTTCTCCATGCCTTCATCAGCATTTCAGGTTCATTTCATCAATTCACTCGATACAGTGTGTTTATGCATCTTGAATTTTACTTACCATTTGTCTGGCGCATAATAACCCTCGAGGTTTTGTGTGCCATTTAAAAAATCAACCAACCAACCAACTTTGCCACGAGGAATTTTTGGGCTTGGGCTGGTGTTACTATCAGACAAGTGAGAATAAGTAACAACAACAAGTTTTTATATTCTCAAACTACCTTCGGCTTCATCTTGGACTTGACTCGTTTCAGTTTATACTTATCTGCCCATCACCGGCCGAGCGGTAAAGTCACTCGTTGGTAGTTTGCTTCGAGGTTCGACTCCACGGCCAGGTCGCATTTTTCCGTGGTTTCTCATGTGTAAATACCCCTTTTGAAACGTACATAGGGGTCTTCACATAAATCCTTACGGAAATTAGTGTTTATACACTCTAATCTCGCAGAGTGGGATTTGGAGGTGACAGCAGTTTTCGCTCCGTTTCGTGTCAAACAACGCAAATTTACTGTCTTGGTAGCAGAACATGTTTCCCACTTGCAATAATAACCTTGGGGAAGGGAGTGAATTGAAGGAGCAGGACGACCCCCTGTCTTGTCATCGTCCACCCAGACTGACCAAACAAGTTTGCTTCTTTGGCTAAGCGCCATTTCAAGCGAGGACAGTCGTAACAATGGATACAGCTCCTTTGCCAAAAGTAAGTTCGCTTTTAAAATATATATACAATTATTTCTTAATATAAATATCTTAATTATATTATTTATTTATGTGTCAAAATTTAAGTATGTAATAAAAAGTAGTTTTAGCTCTTTTTTTTTTAGGTGTCTGTAAATTTGCTTTAAGAGTGTAATGCTGTAACGTAGTTTTATTTATTACGTACTGCTAACACAATGAAAGCTGTACGTATGGATGGTACTTTTTGTAAATAATTCTTAACATTATTTTTATTTTTGAACAATTTACACAAAGCTATCGAATTTAATTATTTAAATTTAGTTTTGCATGCATTCCTATTTCAAATAGGAAGAACAGCGGTGGAAAAAAAAAAATGCATACTAAAGTTTTGATTTTTTTTAATAACACAAGTGTGTAAATTATTTGGTAGTATTGGAAGAAATAAAAACCGTATACTTTACTGAATTTCCTATTGAAAATCATATCGTTTTCAGCTTCTAGTAGTTTTTAATAGATTTTTAACTTTCATTTTTTATAAATTCTGCTTATAGTTTGTGACAATAAAATTCACTTACTGTTGCAAAGCTGAATTTTTCCAAAATATAAATACTAGCACTACCTGGGTCATATCAACATTCTAAAACTTATATTTTTGCAAATATGTTGTTATTCTCGAGAGTGTAGGTGTAGCTAAGGCCTCTTGAACATTCAAAAGTCCGGGAGGCCAATAAAGCTGCTAAGACGGCTTTCCGTTTACGATTTAAAAAAAATCTTGCATTCTTTAAAAAAGACTGAAAGCTTCAGATTTTAAATTACGTCCAAAGGGGCGTTTTTTTAACATTTTGTGTGTTACCTTTATTTATTAAATATCATGTTCTTCGCACTTAAACCATAAAAACATTCAACAGCAATATCGCAAAATAATTTTAAAATGAACATATCTTTAGAATTTCCAATACAGAGTCTCGCGAGCTGGAGATATATATATTATATTTTTTTTTTTTTACTCGTACAGTCTTGCCATTGCTCGCTTTGAAATCGTTTACTTTGTTAATCAAAAATTCGTTGAAGTATTACAAAATATTAAATAATAAAGCAAATAATAAAACCAATTTCAAATTCCAATTAGGGCTTCCACATGCCCATATTCTATGGAAGATTACCTTATTCAAATTTTGTTGGCTCTAGGTACCGTTGTTTTATTGCATAATGCGAGAAACATACATACATTCATGCAGATTCTTCATTATTTAATTTCTTTAAATATAATGTTTGGTGGCAGCAATTTGAAATGAAACATATCGGGAATATGCAAAATGCAAAATATATGCAAAATGCCAAAACGAAATTAACAGTCCAAATCATAAATGCAAAATGCAAAATTATGCAAATGCCAAAACGAAATTAACAGTCCTTCTGGGAGAATTGCCCCTTTGGACTAAAAAAAACCCAGCTATTTAAAAAAAATAATAAGTTTTGATTTTCTGATGACAAACTGAAAACTATTGTATTATTAAATATTCCAGGTAATTCATGCAGATAACTATTTAATGAGAATTCATTTTCAATCAAAGACCAAGCATAAAATTTTAGTACCTTGTCCCATTCTACATAGGTTCTATATTCCTAATACTTGTGCCACAGCAAATTGTCAAATTTATCTGCCCCTTGTCTTTCTTTTAAACTGTAGCACAATAAAATACTTTTTTTTTTCAGGAGGCATTACATGATAGTTCAAAATTATCAGATTTTTATAACTGCAAGAAGTTCCCGAAGATGCTGTTAATGTCCTAAAAGGTAATTTTATTTTCTACTCTGTTTTAAATTAAAAACTATACCTAGTCCGGATTTTTGAAAATTCCAGATATTCAGTTGACTTTATATGCTATATACATGTATTTATTTTATGCTAAATATGTATTTACTGACAAATATACGTATATGCCAATATATAATATGTACATCAAATGTTTATTTCTTTTAATGCAAATAAGAAAATTAAAAAAAAAAACAGTATTTATTTTTAAAAAATGTAAGGCATGTTTTTTTCAGACTTAATTAAATAGTAAAATTCGTACATGTCTAAACATTTTTATTTCAACTGAAACAAAACGACTTTTTTATATGTAAGCCATAAAACCTAAATGTTTGATGCATTTTTATTTTATAATATGAAAATTAAGCAATATTGCCTTATATTTGTGGCAGCGCCTATCATATTTAAAAAATTAACTTATTTTATTAACAGATAATAGAATGCACAATTAAAAAACAGCTTCCCCTCCCTTCTATTGCGGGAGAAAACCTAATTCGACGGGTTATTTTTATTTATTTATTTCCCCTTCTAAGAAAACTTGTCAGGCATACTTTCAAAATTGTCGAAATATATACTAATTTAAACATGATAATTCTGAAATGATTCATAGATTCATATACATCAAACTCAATAGTTAGAAAGTTAAACTAATGACATTTACTTATTACTTTTCAAGATTATTGCCTTTTCATTTCAATTAGTTATTATATCTTCTCCTAGTGATATTAAAATGAGTGAGAGGATCTGATGAAGTAATGTTCAAAATAATATAATTGTTTACATTAGCAAAAGCTATTGTTGTATCAAACAAGTCTTATAAACCTTTTCGGTACTTTTCCGTTATGCCGGCGCAAGCGATAAAGTCGCCAATAATGGTACAACCGATTCCAAACGAAATATTCTCGCTGGTAACCTTTTACGCCTCATTTTAGAAACAAGTCGCAGCTTTTTCTTATCAGATTGATTGTTTCTTTCAATACTGGTATATTACATAGGATTTTTATCAGATAGTACAGTTTTATGTCTAAGGCCATTTTCGGTAATTAAGTCAAATAGGATGCAATCACAGCGCTTACCCGAAGCCGAAAATATAGAAAAGGTAAAGTCAAGGCTTAAATTCATCCATTCTAATGAGAATGCATTAGCGGCGAATTCAGTCATGCAATCTGCCTTAAAAAGTTGATGAGGACAATAAATATCATAAAATCACTTAGCAAAATACTAAAAGAGAAGTAAAACAGTACTTACAACCCTAATTAAAGCAAATATATTCAATTTAATCGCACATAAGCTCCAAACAGGTAAGGCTGCAACTGATCAGCAATTATGTTCAGAGAGCCCTCGTTTTTCATGGTCTGTTCTATCAATTAAGGGTCTCAGAGCCGTCCCTAAGAACATCCCCCAAAGCATAATACTCGCTACTACCACCCGCCTGTGTATGACCTGCTGTACAGGGAAGGGGGCAGCGAATGCACGCCTGGAAGACGGCATATCCTGACTAGAGCATCGACATGATAAATGAGAAATCCTGACAGGCAGCTGTCTTCCACTTATCCATTGTCTAATCTTGTTATTCCCGGTCCTATTGTAAGCGTAGTTGGCAATGACGCTTAATCAACAGAGACAGACGAGTGGGACGTCTGTTGCGCCGTCCAGTAATGTCCGCTGAACTGTGTCTTCCGACACACATGTACTTGAAATTATGTGGTATTAAAGTGTAAGCTGAGCCACTGCCTGGCGTCGAAAGCGAGAAAGTCTTAGAAGACCTTTTTTTTTATCCAACACATTGACGTCTACTGCTGGTTTCGCCTTCATTTATCAACTACGCATAACGCACTAACAATGGCTAATCGTAAACAACCTACCAAGTCGTGCAGATTCGGAGATACTCGTTCCTAATCTTCGACAATCACAATATGCCCTCTGTCAAATTCGCTTAGAGCCCATTACTCGCAAGTAAGCGAGATATACCATTCAAATTCAATCACCTGCGTCATCCAGAGAAGTTCATTGAAAAACGTGGGGATGGTCATAATGTTTTGGCTCGTCAATGTACTTATAGCTGAAAGCATCTCTTACCAAAAGTGCTACGATTAAAGTGGAAATAATTTGCGTTTAATCGCCAGAAAAGAATTTGAAAAGGCTTTAAGTGAGCTTAATCTGCTTTTCAAGGAGGTTAAAAAGCTCTTTCTCTCGTTTTACGACAGATAAAACAGGAAAATAAAACTCTCGCAAAATTACGAACATAGTATTGCAAAATTATGAAGCAATTTTGTAGATTCGTAATAAAACTTTTTCCATCTAACGCAACCGATACAATTTGTTAAAGAAGACATCAAATAATCTAAAATTCTTTCATCATACAGTGGCATAGATTACTTTTTATACACGTGCATTGCCCAACCGGAATTGTGATTTGCGACGCTGACTGCTGTTTCGAAGGCATGGATGTTTGTAAATGTATAGTGTCTGTGTGTGGTATGGGACACTTTAAATATGTCTTCTAGAGAGGTTGCTGGTAGAAGGCTCTCAGACCCGTTCCTGCCCAATCGGAGGCAGAACTGAGCAAAGTCATAGTGTCACTTGTATTGTGTTAAAGGCTATTGCCAAAGGAATAGCCTTTAACACAATACAAGTGACACTATGACTTGCGCTCCTTGCCACGATGAATTTTGTCAGCTTGTTCTGATATTACTGCCAGAGAAGTGAGATAAGTCAGAATAACAGCAATAATAACAACAACATAGATGTGCTCAACCTGTATGAAAAATCAACAATAAATCGACGGTGAAAATCCAGTGGCGTAGCGAGGGGGCGGTGCAAGGGAATGTATGATGCCCCGGGCGCCGCTCGCAAGGGGGCGCCAAATGGTCTCCAAACAAGATTTTCCGGAAAATTTCAATTTTTATTTTGATAGATTTCTGGAAAATGTATTTAAAATTAATAATCACTGTAATACAATTAATTATTTATTTCCTTGTATTGCCTGATAAAATGTTTGCAGTACATCAACCAAATATCTCCGTATACAAAACATTCCTTCTGACCACTTTATTTCTCTAAAATAGAGATATATTTTTATATTTTTAAAGGAAATGCAGGTATAGCTCCCGGTTTTTATTTTAAAACGATAACACGACCTTGTCCCGAATTTCTCAAACATATCCATTTTCCAGAAACCGATTCCATGGTCTGAAAATTACATTTTTGGAAACTCCTAACGCTTCCGCTACAAAGGATTGCGTTTCACTCTCCTTTAAACGACTGATGGCCTTCCTGGTTACCGATTCAACTAAGTCATCTTACTGAGACATCAAATATTCATTGCTACAAAGCATTCAACGCGTGTCAATTGTTTTTAATCTGCTACAACAAAAGGAATGCTGCAGGCCGCTCCTTACTCCTTATCTAAAACGCATAGTTTTCGACGTCACAAACTAAATTTACATATTCCCCATTTTATAAACATTATAATTTTCCTTTATAATCTCTTCTATTTCCTTTTCTGAAATAGATTGTTGATTTTATGGTTATTTCATACCGAACCACAATATTCCCTAATTGTTTTGAGCAGTGAATGTGACTGCAAGATGTTCTAAAACACCATTACAGATCTATAGAGAAAATGTTTTTCTAAACCTAAGAGTCACACTTCAAATATTCCTAACTATTGCATTATCAAATGCTAGCTATGAACGTTCGTTCAGCAAATTAAAATTAATTTTGACATATTTACAATCAACGATGGGACAAGATCCCCTAAGTCATCTGGCATTTTTGAATGTGGAAAGAGAAGAATTTGAAAGGATCGACTTTGATGAAGTAATTGATAAATTTGCTTCATCCAAGGCAAGAAAAATGTATACATAGTAATTAATTATATTAATGTATTATAACATTGTATTATTATTAAAAATATATCTACTTATCTATAATATAAAATTTTAATTGTTTAAAAACTGTACTTTTTTAAAAACAATTATAAAAATATGTAAAATAAATAATACTTTTTTAACTAATTCTAGATCATCGTAAGTCTGATTTTTCCGCCGATACAGATACATTTCAGAATCCAATGCTAGTGTGGTTAGGTAGTGACTATTCTTAATATATTTTAGAGTATTTTATGGCAGATTCAGCATTTTAATATTATTTGCATTATTTTTATTACGAATATATTCTACACATTATATTTCTATCAGTGTTTTTTCTGTGGGGGGGGGGCGCCAAAAAGGTATTTTGCCCCGGGCGCCAGTTACGCTTGCTACGCCACTGTGAAAATCTTATTTATACTTCGAAACCAAGCCTGCTGAAAGCCTGCAGCACAAGTTTAGGCAGCATCCAATTCCATATTCTAGTGACCAGCATGATCCGTTATAAACTTTCTCGTCATCGTATGATCATAACTGGCATAACATTTCCGAAAAATGAAGTCCTACGAGAGCGTTTATCTTTTTATTGGGAGCAGGTAAACTTTCTTGCGGAGCTGATAAATTAGTTTTATCGCTGAAGTATTTCCTTCAGTTAATAAAAAATATGGAAGAAGTAAAAAATAGTAGCCATTATTTCGAATCATAAAGCTTTTTCTTTTCTAATTCCGAAACAAGTGCAAAAAAAGAACTAAAAGTTTTTACTGCAGGTATTGATAATTTAATGCAGTTTAACCTTAAAATTAATTAAATTAACAAATCATTGACGCTTGTTTAGGACATTTCTGAATGGTATAAAACAAAAATTTAAAATCGAAATTACATTTTTAGCTTCATGATAACGCAGTTTCAGGGATTTTCCTTTTTGACCACGGATTGTGTAGTGGTGTCATCTACATTTAAATCTTGTAACTAATACATTCAAACATATTCCATACTTATATCTTCCATATTTATTATTTTAGTATTCCCTGTTGTTCGACTTACATTTTTTAAAGAAAAAGTAAAAATATAGTTTTTGGGCTTTATGCTTTAAAATAAAAAAATGCAAA